TGTAGTTTCGTATTTGCATTCGTATACTAGATGTTGCATTTACAGCAAAAAATATCTCTTAGTTACTTTATCTGACCGATCCTACAACTTTCCAGTACTAATAAACTAATAAATAGCTTTTTTTTCTTTCAATCATTACCTAATTATGGGCACGGGATAAGCCTGCGCTTGACATAACAATGCGAAACCAGTATGCATTTGTTTTTGTACCTCTATCAACTTATACTCCAGTGAAAATGTGGGTGGCTTAGCGCCGACAGGTTCTAAAAAAGGATTTAGACTGGATCAAGTAAAAAAATACAAACTGTTGTTTGAGTAAAATATAATTGACATTGAAAACTGCCTCAGAAATAGCTAAAAAAAATCCACTAAGCGTTTTGAAAGAACGCTGGTGACCATCACATCGTATTGAATCAATAAAAAAAATTACGAAATTTTCTATAAATGTATGTAGCTTCACAAAGCAAGTGAAAGTAGGACTGACCATGACATGTTCAATCCTTTTTTGTATTACACTTAACCGTACATGTTGCGGCTGATAAAATTCGCGCCAAAAGCATAATCAGCCGAACAGCACTGAACTTGACCTAGACCCCCACAGCAGCGATAAACGACAATCGAGGTCAAACAGCAAGGTCACGTTACGACGACAAACGAAACAGCCAATCAGCTGTACAGTATGAAAAAATAACAGGCAAAAAATGAAGCCATCCAACGCAAACAAAAGCGGCAGCATTGCCGCGCAAGATGAAAGTGACAATTGGGTGGTAAGCCTGTACGAAAGGCGGGCGAAACCCAACTGAAGAATTGCAACGACTAAAAAGTGCAGTGTGTACACAAGGAAAGGCGAAAAGCGCGCCAAATTTTCAAAAGAAAGTAAAAGTACGGCTAAAATGTGGGTAGCCAGTGGTGAAAACCAAAAACAAACTGTGTGAAAAAGTTCGTAAATGGCAACGAACATAGACGCAGCAGCAATAACAAGTCGCTGCCAACAACAGACATCAACTAGCAGTAGGGCACAAAATGCGGCAGCCACTTCAACTGGAATGGGGTCAGTGACCCAAAAACGTGACTGCTGTGCAACAACTGCGAAGGAACAGCAACGCAGACGTGCGCATGAAACGTGCAACGGGTCGACGCAGCACTACAGCAGATGGGTTAATTCATTCATAAACAGTGCAAGGCAAAAGTATGCGTGTGAGAGAGCGATAACAAACGGCCAATAGAATCCTCTACTTTCATCTCACTTTAGTATGCGCACGCAGTAAAACCAGTTTTTGCTACCATCTCTTATGATCTACACTTTCCAAACATACAAGTAGAATCAAAATAGAAATACAAAAATAAACGGGCAACAGCAACAAGTGACAGCGTGCGAGTGAGATAGCTGCAGCATAAAGCGAATAGCGCAAGCAAAACACAAACGCGTCGAGAAGGGGTAATTGTTTTGGGAAATTTACGACGCGCATCGCACATGCGCGTGGAGTGCGAAAGAAACAGCATGCGTTGTGCATTGTGTAAGCGAGTCAACTGTAATGTTGACTAACAGCTGTATGTATGTACGCGCGGTTTGTTTATGACACACATTTACCCGGCGCATATATTGATTTAACGGTGTATTTGTGCTTGTTTGGCCGGTGGTGGCGGTGGTGGAGTTGGTGGTAGTAGTGGTCTGAGCAGCTGAGCATCAGCAGCAGCATAAACCACAAATGTTGTTGTTGGTGGCGCGCTGATGAGGTTGTGAAGATTTTGTGGTGTGAGTTTGTAAACAATGGCGTACACTTTTACGGGTTTGTTTTTTCATTGCACGATTGCTAAAGATGAATTGTTGCTGCTCACTGTGTTGTTTCTTTTTTTCTTTTTATTACTTTAATCTTTCTTTTTTCTTTTTGTTTTTACTTCATGCTGCCAGCATTTGTGCTTTGTTTACTTTTGCTTTTGTTCGACTCTTCTGTATTGACGATAGCCTCCAGCCAGCCAACTGAAATCAGTTGTCATAAAGGCAACGACACATCGAGGCAACTGACATAACAATACATGCAACTGTATATCTGCCAAGTGTGTATTTTAAGCTCGAGTGTGTATTTCGAGTGCGGGCATACATATGTACACACATTCGTTTTTTATATTAGAATTTATGAATGAATATAGCGTAGTACATTTATCTCATGCCGCCGAACATCCGATTTGTTCTTACTCGACTCGTTGATTTTATTTGCACAGTTGCAAATATGAGGAAATGCAAATTTTCTGTATTAAAACACATCGCTAGCCGATGACTAAACACAAGCAAAAATAACAACATACATACTATATGTGTATATTCAACAGCTGAGTCAGAATGAATATTTATATGTATGTATACAGTAATCACTAATATCTATCGACAATAATTGTCGAATATGTATCGTTTAGTACCATGTTTCCATACCAAATTGAATTGCTTTAATCAATTTGGTACAACGCGAGCTATGCGGGGCTGCTATAGGGAACTGAAAGGGAAGCGAGACGTATTTCCGAAATAAGAAGAGAGGCCGGAATACTAAGTGCTGTACTAAGAGCTAGTATATCAAGCTGGATAGGAAAAATGCCCGAAAATTTTGCCAGAGAGTTAGGCGACTTAGGGAAGCTTTCAAGAACAGGACGAACTCCTGTAAGAACAACAATGGCGACCTAGTGACCAATGTCCAGAACGTACTTAAATTATGGAGACAACATTTTCCACCTTAGTGCATGGCAACAACTCTGAAAACTGTGGAGAAGACGAACCCGTGCCCCCAGTCGATGATGACGAGGTTCGAGAATAGCAATAGCGCGCTTGAAAAACACAAAGCTGCTGGAGCTGACAGCCTGGCAGCTTAACTATTCAAGTACGACGGCGAGGAGCTTCAACGCTTAAGCAGAATATTGTCAGACGAACGCATACCCGACGACTGGAATTTAAGTGTGCTCTGCCCAATCCACAATAATCCACAATTTGCTACCAAACGGGGTTTCTTTCATGTGATTCATTTTATTTTGGAGAAGATAATAATAGCTGCAGAACTGAACCGCTCAGGAACAATTTTTACAAGAGCGCGGGATTGCTGGCGTATGCCGATGACATCGATATTATCGCTAATTAAAACCGCGAAGTTGGATATGGAAGCAAAGCGATTGGTTCTGGTGGTCAACGAGGACAAGACAAAGTATCTCCTGTCATTAGCGTGGATAATGGCAACATCTGATTAGGCGGATCTTGGAGTATTCAATAGAAAGATTTTGCAGAAGATTTACGGTTCAACGACGAGCTTTATGAGCTTTACAACGACATAGTGCAGCGAATTAAAATACAGCGGCTCTGCTTGCTCTCGAGTTCGTGTCGGTTCACAATAGAAAGTGAACAAAAACCATAGCCATTCACAATACATCTGTCTCCTCACGTAAAAATTCATATTTCGAATTATAACATTCGTGAACGAACTGCTCGTCTCGTATACAACGCAATAGATTCCCTAAATTTTAATTTCGAACTTAGTTTTCACAAAGAAATTGGTAAACTGAAAAACATATTGGCATACTAAATTTTCTTTCTAACCTAAAAATCGGCACTGGATACGCTTGTGCCGGACACATAATAGCAAAGCTAGCACTTTGCCGACGCTCAATGCCCGACCATTTGGTGTCAACGGAAAGAGTGGGCGCTTTTGCGCTAACAGGCTCTGTGAAAAAGCAACATCAATCATAAATAAAAAGTCAAATAGTCTAACGAATCATTCATAAAAAACATATGTTAATAAATAAATACATATTTTAAATTGCATTTTCCACCTGAATGCTGGCACTGGATACGCCTGCGCCGGGCAGAACATAGCCAAATTGCGTGCCTGCATACGCTCGATCCATGAGCGACGCATATCGTGCGAGAGTAGCGTTGGCGCTTTACCGCCGACGGGTTCTAAAGTGCAGAAAAACAAAATATTTTATTTAACTTATTCAATGCTGCAAAGCTCTAAGTACCTACTTTAAAATGCTTGAATACATATAATTAAATAAACCTACGTCACTAGAAAAACTGACGTAAGTAAACTGCCTGAAGTTAGTGCGGTATGCATGTCAATAAATTTTCTCAAATGTGCTCATATCTGACCTACAAAAAAATGTTGTATAAAATATTTGAACAAAACAAACTTAGTAATTCACCTAAAATTAGGCGCTGGATAACCCTGTGCTGGACAAAGCAACGATAAATCCGCTGCGGATTGTAGTTCTAACGGTTTTTGTACTAAGGATGGTATACGTGGCGCGCTACTGGCGATGGGCTCTACAAAGAAAAGTCGATAAAGGTTAAATGGTGCCGGATTTCCACTAGGCGTTAAATTACAAACATTTTTGGCATTAAAAATTACACATTTCATTACGCTATTAAGCTAAGTTTCCATATAAATTTTTTTGTCATTTTGAAAATTTTGCTGCTGAATGTTGGGGTTAATGCTTTTAAGTGGATTAGAATATGTGATTGATAAGCAGTAGGTAAGCAGCTAGATCAAAAAGTAGTTTAAAAAAACATTTTTTTTTACAAATTTGTTAATCAATAATTACTTCAGAAAAGTTTGCAAATCCGAAAAATTGAAAAGTCAACTACGGATAAAAATTTCACCATGAGTATACTATTTTAGTCTTCTAATTACCGAAAATTAGGCGCCGGAAACCCCTGCGCTGGACAAAGCAGTGAAATGCTACTACCGCTCGCCATGTTCAAGGGTTTGCTCATTATGGAAGGTATACGAGGAACGGTGCTTGAAACAGGCTCTGAAATATTAAATCATTGAATTTCAGTCGATTAAGATTATGCAGTTCCTTAAATTAACATTGAAAACTGCCTGAATGCCTTTACTTAATACCCACCAAAAACTCTTTCGCCTTTTCTTTGCAGCGGAAGTCTCTCTAAAGCACTAATCGAAAGCATGCTACGCTAAACATTTTATTATTATTTTCGATTTTTCTTAGCCTAAACGCACCTAAAATTTGGCGCTGGATAACCTTGTGCTGGACAAAGAACTGCAGTTTGCGCATTAAGCTCAACAACATTAGGTTTATACGTCAGCGCATTGATTTTAGGCGGCGAACTAGAAACAGGCTCTGAAAGGCAATGTTTTTTTTAAGTAAGTTAAGCAAATAAATATAATGCCAAGTTATCGATAGCGCCGATAAATCACATACATTCCTTAAATCAAATTTGGTATAAATTAAAGTGTAACTGCCTGAATACTTGGTTCTTTTTAATTTTTTATTCTCTATGCCACAAGTTGTACATATCTTGTATCTACATATACTCGTATCTTACCGAAAATTTGGCGCTGGGTAACCTTGCGCAGGGCATAAAATTGAGATACTTGAGTGGTGTGCCACACTTAAAGGGCGTGCGCTTAATGGAGGAACCTTGGGTGCTGTACTGGAAACAGGTTCTGAGGAACAAGCGTTAAAATATGAATGAAAAACTCTATTTCAATAAGAAATTATGTTTACAAAATTTATGAAAACTGCATAAATGTTTTTTGCATACTAAAAAACACAGAACGTTTGATTTGAGAAAATCTGATACGATGCTTAATTGTTTGTAAAAAAAGAATACTACTACAAAATTTTGCGTTAATTTTACCTAAAAACTGGTACCGGAAAACCTTGCGCCGGACACAGTAGAGCAAAAGTGCTGCCCATAGAATAACTTTTCACATCGAATTTGGAGAATGAAGACACCTTTGGCAAGGTGCTGCTCACCGGTTCTAAGAAAAAAAATTTTTAAGAAATGATTGTCTAAATATAAAAGAAACATTGAGAACTGCATTGCTGGGTATTGAGAACCTTAAATTTAGAAGCTTACTTCACTTGATAGAAGTCCAATTAAAATGCCATATATGCCAAAGACTCCGATCAACATTTAACCAATAGATATGAGAATGTGTGAAATGCGAAGTATGTAGCTAGAAACGGCCTACGACTTAAGCCATTTAGAAGGCTTGAATGAAGGAAGTATGTAGTACCATTCTCCAATTTAAATATATTGAACATAGGAAACGAACTCAAAAGACTGACACTATCAAATTACGGAGATCGAATTTTGCCACATGCACAGAGTTCACTTCCCTGACAGCGCCGTCTAGGAATCTTAACTCGAGTTGAGCGATACAGAGCTACAATATTCACAGATTAATGTACAAGATCTAGTAGTGTATCTTGTAGACATACAGTCCGCTTTCAAAACACAATTGACTTGACAACAAAGCTTGCGGCGGTGATGGACTTTACTCGCCTTCTTTATAGGCAGTCAGTCTGCGATCCCAAGAGCTTTGATCCCTCTCCCAAAAGTTACTTTTCTTATGGGTACTCCAAGTAAGTATGTTAGAATCACTGACTGACTCCAAGACCTTTTAAGAGTGTCCCGGGCGCCGATTTTTTTTCGATGGCATAGTTTCGAACTGAGTTGAGTCCGGAATCTAGTGCAAGCATTCAAGCTTGTTAGAGAGTTCAAAATGAGGGAATACCTACTACTGAGATCTGGGCAATAGGAGCAGAGTGCTGAGGGCCTGGTTTCAATCTAACGATTTCTGTGAAGAAGGAAAATTAGGCGCCAACGACTGACTTCGTTAATCCAATCAGATATTTTCCATTCCATCCATTCGAGTTTTCCAACTATTCAAGTTTGAGCGAGTCGGCTTATTATTTTGCTAGCTTTTCCAACATGAAAGATATGCAAGTATTACCTAAACGAAAAATGACACTGAAGATGGCACAACGCCGAAACCGGTTTGTCTCCAAACCAAATTTGACAAGGGATGACGGAAAATCGTTCCACATTACATACTCCTACCCTGTCGGAAACACCAACAACGAAAATGAGAATATTACCTAAACATTGGCACCGGGTATGCTTGAGCTGGACAGAGCAGCGTTTGACTAAAGCCCAAAGCAATATCGACATTTCGTGTCTTATCGCCGGAGGTGAGCCGAGGACTTACGCTGCCAACGGGTTCTAAGTACAATCGGAAAAGGAGGGAAAATAATTTAAAAATATAATGAAATGTGAATACGCTCTACAGAGAACTATTTTATATAAGTAGAAGCATATAAAACTGCAGAATGTTGGAGACGTTCTCTAGCTTCGGGTCTATAGCTTTCTAGTTTTTTCAAACATTTTTTCAACAAATTTATCAAAAACCACCATTTCATATGTAAAAAAAATTGAGAAATTTACCTAAAAAGTGGCACTGGATAAGACTGCGCGGGGCATAGCAACGTCACATCGGTTGCATTTCGACCGCGCACTTTGGTTAACTCATCATAAGCATTGATTTTTGGACCTACGCTTGCGACGGGTTCTGAAGAAAAAAAGTTTATAGAGTTGTGTAAAAAATATTTATTGAAAAACGCGCACTTAATGTTGGAAATTAGGGTTCGATGAAAGACCTTTGAGTTTTAAGATTTGATATTTTTTTAAAAATTACCGGTACAGAGGCACAGGATATGACTGCGCCGGACAAAGGAGCGTAAAACTACGACCAATTTGTGCTTCCGCATTTTTCAAACGATTTTCTACGCTAATTTTTGGCGCCACGCTGCCGACGGGTTCTATGAAGAGCAAAAGGAACAGTGTTTAGATAAAAATTAAAAATTGTATATACAAATTTTAAGAAAACTGCCAGAATGCGCTATAACCCTTAGATTATGTATGTATGTATACACAAGAGTAAGAAGAATATTTTCACTTAAAGTTTCGACAATGAAATTTGCAATACCTGTAACTCGGCATCGGATAAGACTGCGCTGGACAGAATAACGTAAAAGTTGCACCAAATTTAGCACCAGCATCACGTAGACGCTCACCTACACTAATTTTTGGAGCGACGCTGCCCACGGGTTCTAAGAAAAATGTGTGAAATCTAGAGCTTTTTTATATAATGAGAAATTTATACAAACTGCTGAATGTTGGAAGCTAAACGTAAACTTTTAGGCAATCTTATTTTTGATATCGATAACAATCATGATGACGGTAATAGCGATAATAATAATGTTACTCTTTTAAAGGATGTCTCAAAACTGATAACGAAGATGAAAATTGCACCATACGTGTGACAATAAAGATACCGATAAAGATAATTTAGTTATAAAAAATCGATATCATTTGCAAATCGATATCGATATCTATAGCGATAATCGTGACGATATAGATGACGCCCTTAATAGTTTCAATGACACCGAAATCAAAAAAAAAATCGATAACAATATATCGACTCTTTCGATACTTATGAAATTCATGATCATGATCAAGATCAGATGAGAATCACTTGTATTATCTTATCGATAACGACAAAAAGAAGTTTGTTCAGGGCATCGATGAAACTGCTATCGATAATAATTAAATTGCTATCGATAACGATGGCTATATAGATAACAGGTGAAACTAAGATAACCACTGATAATACTGATAACCCTAACGATTATGAAAAGAAGAGGAGAGAAATGCGAGATGCTTTAGATGCTTACAGAAAAACTGCTGATTGTAAAAATAAATCGAAAAGTGAAAGGATAGGATTGTGCTGGACAAAATATGCTTAAGGTATCACCAACACACGCCTCAGCATCATTGCGGCGGTTGATGAGATTAATTTTTGGTGGAACACTGCCGACAGGTTCTGAAAAAATTTTGAAAAAGATTTGTATGTACATCAAACATCCTAAAAAAAGGGAACTGCGTGAATTTGGGATATCAAAAGCAATTAGCTAATCGAATATGATTTTAATAGTAAAAGATATACTTTTTTGACACGAAAATTGACTCAATTAGTTTTTAAAATGAATACAAAAATGTTCACTTTAATTTCATACATATCGTTCACTTTTAAATTATAACCGCATCATTACCTAAAAGCCGGCATCGGATACGATTGTGCCGGGCAAAATATGCTCAGCGACGTATTAACGCGCGCCTCAGCATCTTTACGCCTATCACCGACGCTTATTTTCGGTGCAACACTGCCAACAGGTTCTACAATAAAAGGTTGCATAAATCAATTTTACGAAATGCTATGAAACTAACAACAAACAAGCAAACAAGGTTAGTTAAAAACTGCCATGAATAATTAATGCGGTTCAAAAGTGTACCCGCCAACACAAACTATTAAGCGCTTAGAAAACTTTTTGCCACTACACAACTTTTGTAGAGTCAATTGATTGACTGAAGGGCGATTACTTAAATTGTCGTAAATGTTTGTAAAATAGTAGAAGACGAGGTACTTTTAAATAAATACCTGTAAGCTGGTACCGGAAACGATTGAGCTGGACAAAAGAGCGCGACGCTTGAATGATTTTCGACAGCAGCATTTTGAAGTTGTGCGGCAATGCTAACTTTTGGTGCAACGCTGCCGAGTGGTTCTATGACATGAAGAATTTCAATAGTTTTTGGCAGGTATGTAATTAGAAGTTTGATATTCTTGGGGGTGAATTGGACTGCTGTCTGAATGTTGGGTGTTTTATGTGCTCGTATATTGCAAATACACTTTTAGTTATCGGCAAAGTTGTTTTCTAACTAAAGGAGATGCTACTACTGCCATGTTCTTTTTTTCTAACTTCAATTGACTGTCAATTGCTATTTATAAGAAAAAAAAAAATAGTTTTAAAGGAAGCTTTAAAAGTTTATTGATATTATTAATAAAAAAAAAGCTTTATAAATCGAAAATTTTTGTGAAAATGTTTTTATGAATAATGCCTAATTTCTACTAGGCACTGAAATGACGAAAAATTTGCGCCATTTAAAAAATGCCATGTGGAAACGAATTTAATGACAATTTTTTCGTAACGTAACGGCACGGGTTTTTTCAACGCCAAACTTTGTCATTAAAATTTGCGTGATTTAGTGCTTAGTGGAAACCTGGCACAAGATATGTATATTCAGGGAGGTAGAAGTGACAAATAATTTTAGCTCTCTTTTTGTAGCTGATTTTAGTGTCAAACAATACAAAAAGTTTGACTCCAAAAAATTTTTTCAATGCGATTTTAAATATTTTCTCCCTTGTTTGACACTTCAGTCGCAGTCCAAAAAAGAGAACTGTCGAAACCGTAGGAGTAATTTTTTTAAGTATAAT